GGCTCCTGAGGAGATGCCAAGAGGCTCCTCTGTTTTCCTGGCAGTTGCCTGTGGTGCCCAGTCTGGCCAGATAGGCCAACTCTTTTTTCCCACTTGATCCCTGTCTCAGGTTTGGCCTTGTTAGAGAAATGAATGAGTGTGGCTGAGCGCATCCTAACCTCCACAACTCCCTTCGCCAACAGATATTGATTTTGCCACCCGCAAGATCGCAGTACGTCTGACTCAGACAAAGATCATCGAACAAAACGGCGATAACTTCAAGACGAAAACCAACAGCACGTTCCGCAACTACGACCTGGACTTCACTGTCGGGGTAGAGTTTGACGAGCACACAAAGGGCCTGGACAGCAGGCATGTTAAGGTACTGACGGGCCGATGGCTCTCACTTGCACGCTCTTTGTGCAGAAGCAGTTGGGCTTCGCAATGGTAAAATGACAGAGAAAAACCTGGGAAGAGAAACCAGAATGGAATTATTGATGCTAGCAATGAGCTGTGATTGCAAACTGAGTAGAAGGAAGAGGCAGGTTCAGGAGAGATGAAAGGATTGCAACCTGCCCAGGATCCAAGGCAGCTTCCCCAGTCCCAGCCCCACCCCCAGCCCCACATATGCATGAGCAGGCTGGCAGAGAAAAGGGGTCACCGTGGAGTGCCACAGGCAAGGGAAGTGGCTTTGGCCCTCTGGGCAATGTGGCAGCCCTGCTCAGCTCCCATCCAAGCAATGGAGGAATGAGGCCCAGGTGCCAGATCTATGTTTTATTTTTCAAGAGATGTTGAAATTTCAAACATTTTTGTATGAAATATCTTAATTGTAGATGATCCTAACTGGCTGAAAAAATATTTTTCATTAAGAAAAATATGCAAATTAACAAAAAAAATCAGTAGACTGCATGAAGTCAGAGTTTAGATAGATCTAGTAAGTTTCGGAAGTTTCTGGCAAATTGGTGGCTTCTGTCCTAGAAATGCCTTAACTCACAGGACATCATCTAGGAAACTTTCTGTGCATCCGAAGGCCATGTTGCATGAACTACAGTAGTCCACCCTTATCAGAGATTTCACTTTCCGTGGTTTAAGTTACCTACAGTCAATTGTGGTCCGAATGTCATAAATAGAAAATTCTAGAAATTAATAATTCATACGTTTTAAATTGCAAGCCATTCTGAGTAAGATGATGAACTCTCACACTGCCAGCTCCTTATTGTTTGGGATGTAAGTCATTTCTTTTTCTTGCATATCTATACTCTATACGTTACTGAGGGCTAGTGACTTAGTAGCCCTGCTGGTCACACAGTATAAATAGGGATCAGCACTATCCATGGTTCAGGCATCCACTGAAAGTCGTGAGATATTCCCCCATAGATAAGGAGACTACTGTACTTGGATACTTAGGACCCCAAAAGCAAGCAGAAAGTAACCCTTCAAACAGGACTGGAGAGAAATCAAGGCTCAGTCATACTTAAGGACTCCCCACCTATCGTTAACTTCATAAGGAGCCCTGGTGATTACACGTCCAGGAGATGAGGAAGGTTCCCTGGCTTGTCATGTATCTTGGGTGCCATTGACTGTTCACTGTCTGTCTGGGCAGTTTATAGACGGATGGAAGTCTGGATATAAGTAGCATTCTTTCCCTCTGTGTCAACTCAGCCATCTGGCTCCCAAGCCGAGGAAGGGCAGGGTTGAATATTCTGTCCTGGGTATGTATGTCCTCATCCCCAGCAAGAGATAGCCCCAGTGAAGAAGGACCCTTCCACCCTGCTTTTACCTTTAGCCATGAGCTCTTTTGAAGTCTCTCCCAAAGCAAGGGACATAAGCTCTGGCCCCTCTCCTGGGGTGGGAGGAACAGCTGTGGTCTCTGGTGCTGATTCTAAAGCCAAGAGAGCAGGACACATTTCTCAGGCCATCCTGCAGCATTGATAATCTCAGCCATCAGGCTGAATTATATTTAATGCTCCTTACAAAGGAAAAGGGTGGGACAAAAGCATTTTGGAAATTCTTCTATCAGAGCAGTTCTGGCATAAGAGAGCGGGCACCCTGGAACGTCCCTCGTCCCTGCAGCATGATGGACTGAGGCGATTCTGAACTATGGTGAAAAGCCACTCATCAGACACCACCACGGATAGGAAAATTTGTCTTGGAATTTTTGCATAGTCTGCTGTTCCAAACTAATCAGATTCTGTTTCCTTACCTATCAGTTGAGGGCGTGGGCTCTTGAAATCTGACCTGTCCTCTCTGACCTGACCCATTCTTTACCAGAGATGGTAGCGAACTCACTCTTCCTGAAATAAATGATGCCCTTCCCACCTTCCCTGACCTTTAAAGGATCGCACCCATCAATACCTGCACATCTTCTCCCTTCCACTTTCTGTTCTCCTTCCTCTCTTTATCAGAAAGTTGCCCTGAAGAGAGGGAGAAACCTCTTTTCCACTGCTTGTCTCCTCTTTTCCTGCAGCAGAAATCCAGGGGTAAAACACACACACACACACACACACACACACACACACACACAAACACGAGACTGGTGGGATGAGATGCATCACCTCCAGTTGGATGAAGGTCCATTCCCATGAGAACCACAGCACGGGTCAGCTGCTCGTGGGACCACTCACTGCCCATGACTAGACTGGAACCCTGCAGCTGGAAGGGGATGCCAGGGTGGACGAGTCTGTCAATTTAACTCAGGTGTCATGGCCAAGGGCACACCTGAGCTGTGTGTGTGTGTGTGTGTGTGTGTGTGTGTGTGTGTGTG